CTTATAGTAGCCCTCCGCCGTGTCATCCATCTTCCCGAGATCCTCCCGTGTCCCGCCCGTCCTTCTCCTCATCCACCATCTCGGAGTCGCCCGCAGGGCCGCAGGATCGCACCCGATGCCATAGCACAACAGAATTGCCCAATGGATTCCTACAACGACACACAATCAGACACCTCCATAACTTGTTGCATGAGCTGCCTTTGCCTGCGAATGAACAGTCTCATCTTCAGGCGAGTTGTGGCTCTCTCAATGCGATAACGAATGCCGACGGCAGACACAGCCGCAACCACGACATTTCTCTCTGCAGTCGTCAATGCATTCCCAACGACCCGCACCTCTCCTTCCATGTTCATGACGTGCAAATTGAATGCGGAAATGCCCAACACCCCTTTGCGTGCAGGCACCCTCGTTCCCTTGTCTTTACGTCGACGGATATGGCGGCAACACTCCACGTGCTTCATGGAATCCCACGCTTGACGCACCTCCCCGACGTACGCGGTCAGCTATGGCGGTCCACAGGATTGTCATGGACAGCCTGTAGAGGAAGGTGGAACCCGTTCGCAACGTCGCACGGGACAACCGTTACCGTTCGTGCTACGCCGGTGTGAGTTCCAATGCCCGCCTAATATTAAGCCATGCCCGCCAGTACTCCGTATGGATGTTTGGCTCCAGTGTGCACTCCAGCGGCCTTCTCGCCTCTGGCGTGGACGCGTCACTACGAGGGTTTCAAATTTCAAAATTTCAATTGGAATGGTCGCGCCATTGTTTTTTTCCCCCCATCCCGGTGGCCTGCGGCGGGCCTCCCTGTCGCCGCCACTGGACCACACTGACGACGCACAGACATCCGAGCACGACAATGGACATCCGCTCCCCGCGGCCACGTGTATGTGTATGAAATTGGCCGCCGGAGGCCTCCAAGGGTTTTCCTTGGGACCCATCGAATTAAGACGTGGTGTAACGAACGAAAAAATTTCCAAGGACTTCGTCCTAATTCCTGAGGATTTTGCAAGGAGGGTCTAACCAGGCCCTAAGCTGTGGACGTGCTTGGCTCCAAATTCGTCCTGTGACGCTCTGAGCATCACAGGCTGTAATTGCAGTCAGTCTGAGTCAGATGCTTTTCTTGGTTTTTGTTTCTGAGAGAGAAATGTCAAGGGCCGGGAATCCCTCACAAACAACCCGGTGAAAGAAACTGCGGCCATTCACCCAGAATATGCTCCTGGAAACCGGGTCCAGTGTCCCCTGATGTATAACTCTCCAAAATAGAAAAAAGAGGTTAGTACGTTCATGTCACTTTTGAGTTATGGAATATTAAGCAAAAAATACACTTGGCGGCAGACAAATAGCCCCTGTAGACATTCTAAACCGGCTCTTGGGCTTTCAAAACGGCAGATTACCCAAGTTGCCGTTTTCAAATAGGTGTCTGTTTTCTTTGCCTCCGGCCCTCCGGGTGTTTTTTTCGCCTTTGCAAACTACCTGCAGGTTGCCGCCTCCTCCATTGTTTCAAAAAAGATATACATGGCTATGGCCTTCACTCAGTTCACTGCCCTTAGAACTTCAATCAGAAGTTCAGAATCTAAGGCTTCAGGATGTGTAATCAGCTGACTTAAACTTCATAATTTCCGAGTTGCTGGGCGGATGGGGCCGGTCTGTTCAATGTGTAGGATGACTTAGTGACTCAGACTCGGAGTTGTTTTCAATCCCACAAGCGCAATTGGTAAGCAGAAGTCTGTCACAGTTCACCAACTGACAGGCTGCCATGGAACAATGGAGAGGATCTGAGCCCTCTGCAATCCTGAATGGGGCCCCGTGCAAGCGATGCGCCCGCCCTAAGTGAAGGCGGGCCAGGTATCTTAAAGGGGCGGCTTAGGGGCCCAAATATTGCAAAATTTGCGGGGGGCGCCAGACAGCATTGAGCAGAGTGTGCTGATGTTCGTAGTGGAGGGGAGCAGAGGGGAGGCACAGGGATTGGTCCTGTTGGTGTGGTCCCTGATGCTACGGGCTGTCCATTGGGCCGGCTGGCTGGTATCACCCACCTGCAGGTTGGGAGCAGCCCTGCATGTTCTCTCGTGAACAGAGTTCTGGCTGCTACCGGGTTCCCCGTAGGACTATAATTAGGAGTAGGGGTAGGTAGGTAGTGTGAGGTGAAATTGAGAGAAGAATGTAGCTTACTTTTTCGAAAACAGAAGACTGTAAGTTGCCACGTGTCAGTTGGTTACATGTGCCGTGCTCGCGTGTGATGCGCAACCTCACGCCCCGTCGCGGCTTTCCGTACTGGGTCGCCGATCAGAGTAGAAGGGGGCGTGGCCGAGGATTTTTGGCCATGGGGGTTGAGTCTCCCGGTAGGAATGAGTCTCTCGTTTCAGGGCCGATAGGTTTCCCCCAACTGGGGCTCGATCTTTGGTCGGGATTACCAAAAACAAAGGGGGAAGAGAACGGGGTGAACGGACGGGCCCAACCCGGTTTCTCTAGACGGGGAAAAAGGAGGGACGGGGGACCTATTCCTCGCTGGGCCTGCTCTGCGTAAAGGGCGATGGATTCCCCCGCGCGGATTCTCAATCCTCGTCGTGGGGTTCGTCGAGGCCTCGGGGACTCACGGCCGGGGGAACTCGGCGGGCGGGGGCTGTTGCCGCAGTCGGGATACGGAAACGGGCAGGGAGAGCTCCGGCGTCCCGGGAGAGTTCAGGGAACCGGGCGGCTCCTTCGTACCCCAGAACCAGCCTTCGCCACGAGCAGCAGTCCCCCTGCTGGCACCAGCGGCAACCAAACTGGGGGAAGCCGCAGACCAGGGGAGCACCATCAGGTCGGTGTAAGGCAGTATAAGGGGCGGGGAAGAAAAGCGGTCTATCAACACAAACCCTTCCCCTGCGATGTGGCACGCCCGTTCAGGGTTGCGCCAGTGAACCTGCTCCGTGCATCGTAGGGCACTCCGTACGTCCGCGTCGCAGTAGACGCTGTCATCCTCGACGATGGGGAAAATCGGGAGTGCACTGCGACGCGTGGAGTCGGGGTAAGTGCAAAAGCGAGAACCCGTGCTTGATTGGAAGCCCGTCTCCATACAAAGAGCGAAAGCGTCTCTCCCTCTCTCTCTCGGGTGTGGCACCACTCAACCAGAGGGTTCCGAAGGAGGGGCGGAGCCGTTTGCTGACCACCTTCAGCGGGTGCAACGAATGTCTCCGGTCCTCAACAGCGATGCGCCATGTCAGATGTCGGCACCGCGGGACTCCGACTCGAGCGCGCAGGACGGAAGGGATCCCTTCAGTACACGAAGGCCCTCGCCCTACGCGATCGAACAACGAAACTAACAGGGAAACGAGGCAAAAGGAAAAAGAGGTACGATGGCCGACTTAATCATGCATCCGGGCAGACAATCGCCACTCAATACCCAAGGACCACATACATGCATACGCAGACTCAGACCCCTTCACAGACCATCTCACCGCGACTCACTCCCATTTATACAACCGATTACCCACTCGACGGGACGTTGCATACATCTCACGGAGACAAATCAGTAATGGAGAAAAGAAAGCGAGTTTCCTTGTACACAAAATTTTCCAAGTGGCTGACGCCCTCAGGCGCAACCGCAAACTTCCCAAGGACCACCGACCACCATCGCCACAAGACCCTGTCGGGATCGGCGCCTGATCTCCACCACTACTCAATCCCTCCAGCTGGCTTACCCCAAGTCTATCGCTAAGCCCGACCCACGTCATCACCCCGCCTGTAACTTGGGCTCGTCGAGCCTGTTCGGCGTCGCCGACGTTCGTGCATAGCTCGCGCAGCGTTGCAGCCGAGATCAAAGAGAGGGAGAGGAGGGGGTTGCGACAATTTATAGTGTGAGAGGCGGCGGGTTGTCAGCGCGAGGTTCGGGCAGCGCCGGTTGTAGACGAGTAGGACAGAAGAAGGGTGAAGGGTTTCGGAAGGGGTGTTCCCTGGAGTCGCGTGGTCAGGCGTGATTGGGGTGTTCGTTCAAGTGGTGCGCCTTTTCGCCTTCCACATTGATCCGCGCATCCCAATTACACAGCCATTCACTCGCAGAGGAAGACGGGGTGAGGATCGAGCTGGGCGTAGGGGAGGACGAAGAGTTCTGCATGGGGGAAACACGCGCAGCAAGCAAGAAAGATGGCGCGGGGATGCAAGGCAAGAAACGGGGGTGCGAGGCGCGCGAAGAAGTCAGAGCTTAGGCGCGCGTGCGCAAAAAATTCAAAATGGTCCCAACCGAAACCGTTTCTTGGTTTTCATACCGAGGCTGCTATTCGCCCGCGCGGGAGTTATTAACGAAAGAAAAGTGAAAAAGCTGTTTCAAAAAGAAGACCAAAGTGAAAAGAAAGAAAAACCCCTTTCTGTTCGCATCCGTACTTTGGGGCTTTCGGGGGATTTTTCCTTAGGGATACGGCAAGCCGCGCGGTACGGGTCTGAGATTATCACATCTGTGATGCGTAGGGGGTTCCGAAAAATTAGCAGTCTCCTGACTGCTGATGTCATCATATTTTGGATGCTTGGGCGGCCTCTTCATCGTCACCTGGCCCGATCATCTCCTAATCTACTTCGATGCATTTCGCATCAATTCATCTCCCTCATATTGTACATCCGATCAGGCGGCCCCTTCATCGTCAGCTGGCCCGATCGGTAAGTAGTCCACTTAATTTTTTTTTTATTTTTTTTTTTTGTACAGCGCGTCTCGACGCGCGAACTTTGGGCATAGGAGAAGAAGATGATAAAGAGAAAGAGAAGGAGGGAAGAAGGGAGAAGTGGACGAGGGTGATCAAAGGAAGTGATCGATGTCGGGATTAAGAGGGGGCGGAATAGGTGGAAGGAAAGTGGCCATTGCCGCGGGAGTCGTCTGCGCGTCCTCCTCATGGAAGTGGTGCTGGACGAACGAGGGATAGAGAAAGGCCCCCGACACATGAGACAGGACACGTGGCCCCAAATCAGCCACTGCTCGCACCACCCGCTTGCACACCGACCGGGGTCCGGGACCCGTCATCACCATATGAGTCTCGGTGTAGGGCTGCCGCTCCCGCTTTTGTGCCGCGAAGACAAGGAAGTGATACATCACATTGGGACGCTGCTCGGTCTCGTAGATGAGCGTCCCCGCCAGCCGCGCCGCAATACACCCTTGAAAAGAGGGTGTCTGATATGACTCCCACGCCGGATCAGGGCGCGGCGCCCCCGCAAGGGCCCCGAGCCTGATGGTGGTGGGCTCCACCATGAAATCCACCTCTGTCGGATGGACCGTCCGGCTCAGGGGAACTGCTAATGTCAATGACCGGGGCACTCCGGGGTGGCTGGCGGAAGCGGAAAGGTCCCGCGAGGACGGGGGGTCTGGGTACAGGATCCGGTAATCCCATTCTGCTTCCTCCTTCGGCTGCTGCGGCTGATGGCCCGGCTCCATCGAGATTGAGATCGGGCAGGCGCGGGAGGGGCGGCGATGGCACGACAATCTCCTTAACCAGCGTCGCCGCACTCACAGGCACAGGGTCGGGATTCCGCGCGTGCATGGGCTGAACCACTTCCTCGCCGCCACCGATTCGGCTGCCTTGTGCTCCTGGCCATGCGTGGCGTCTCTTCCTCTTCGGCGTCTTCTTGGGGGCCTTTGGCGGCGCAGGTCTGGGATACGACGATGGAGGTCGCAATGGCTTTTCCTCAGGGAAGTCCTCCAACCTCTCCTCGCATTGCGCAATATAATCCTGGATGACGACCGCGTTGTACGTTCTCCGCGGGGCAGCCGCCGTCTGCAATCGTGGCTGGATCTCCTCTTCCTCGCTCGCGATCACTTGCGCAATGGATAGGAGCACAAGATGTATGAGCTCCAACAATCCCGGATCGGTCATCTGGAGCTGGGCAAATGGGTACAGCGCCACCGTCCCCTCCTTCTGCGCTGGCTTGGGCCACGTGATGACGTAATAAATGACGAAGTGCTCCCCGATGCAGTGGTCTTCGTGATCCACGAAGAATCGGAACATCCCCAACGCCACCGACTTGTATAGCTCACGGTGCAACTCCCACGCGTCTTCGTCTGCGAAGGGCAGCGGCTCCACGTCAATCAGCTCCACCAAATACTCCGAGAACTCACGCATAGGATAGGGGCCCTCCGTGAGTTGATAGGGGAGAGTGGTGTAAGAGAAAAAGGGAGGCATTTAGTACGGTGCAGGGGGAATAACTTGGATGTTGAGAGGGGCGGCGGGAGGAAGAAGCGGGGGGAGCTGTGGCACCAACGCAATTGGTCCGTCCTCTGCCCTGCGTAACAACGCTTCGTGGGCTGTGAATTGGTGTCCTCTCTGTCCTTGCACTCTGGCCACTGATCTCGCCGCCTGCACTGCGTATTTTCGCACAAAGCTTCGCGCCGGCACCCGATTCGGCTGCGGCAGGATCGTTAGGTCTCCGATAAATGTGGCGACGCTATGCACGAAGTTAGGTGCCACCTGGAGCGCGCGGAACTCTATGAACACTCGAGTTGTCTCCCGCCCAGGTAACTGCATAACATCCACGTACACCCCCGCATACGTTAGCCGATCACAAGGTAACGAGTATGGCGCCAGATCAACAACCCCGGGCGCTGGCACGTTCACCTGCTGAATGTCGTATCGCAAGTGTCTTACCTCATTGAACTGATGCCGCAACAAGCGATCGGCAAGCAGCGTCTGGAAGTACTCGAGGGGCTCATGCTCTGGTTGGCGATGGTTCATCCTGCTCCCTGAGACTCTCAGCACCAAGGGATGAGGCAGATCGGGAAGAGGAAGAAGACGAGGAAGGAGAGGAGGAGAGAGAGGGCGAAGGCTCAGACGGGGCAAGAGCCGATTCGCGGCCCAGAGATGGTCGAAACAGTCGAAGAGCCGCCGCGTGTCGCGTAAGCGACCTGGCCTGCGTGCTATGCCAGGGGACCAGCTTCACGGAGTGTTGTCCTCGTGCGCCAACTTCCGTCACCTCGTAAATGCGGGTATAGCGTGGGTGGATCTTGGAGGAGCGCGCATATTTCCGTACCTGCACCAAGTCCCCGATTTTACAACGGGGCATTGGTCCCACTGTCGCGTTGTGAGGAAACCCGGGGAGGGTCATCTGCAGTTGGCTGAAGCCATGGGCTACGACGCCTGTCACCTCGCCGCACCCGCTTCCGAGGTCCTCAGCGTCCTGCAGGCGTCGGTGGTCAGAAACCCTTGCTTCTCCCCTTGCTGACGCGAACTTATTTCCCCCTTTGAGATTACGGTTTGCGAGAAGGGATCTCTAGCTCGATTGGAGAGTAACACTTTAAATGGTTGAGATTCATAAATAAAGACCGAATGAGCGATTAGCGAGAACTACAGTTTGCGTGAAGAGGCACGGTGTGGGGAAATCAGAGGGTAGTAGTTTCTGTCAAGCGACACCCATCAGATGATTACCGCCCGCTGATTGTCTTACCCTGATTACCGTGTGATGCTTACTGACCGCTGGTTGTCTTGCCCTGATTACCGTATGATGAGCAGTTCTCGCCCGTAGTTGGTTTGGGGCGTTGTCATGATGCACAACATATCATTAAGGTTCCCCCCCACTGTTTCCCAGAAATAGCTCAGGCACGAGAACCAGTAAATAAGCAGCAGTTCTCGCCTTTTCCCGAACGAGAGAATCTCAGACCTTCGAGTACTCTCTTCAGGTGCCTGCAACGGTCTCCAGTTCACACTGGAAGACTCCCCTGGTCACCGAGTTATTGCTCAATTTGTTCCCGTCAAGAGTGACTGTTCGAGCGGCCAGAGCTATGGCTCAATCTGTCTTCTTCGAGTGCAGCTGTTCGAGCAGCCAGAGCTATGGCTCGATCTGCAGCTAGAGCTATGGCTCGATCTACCTTCTTC